AACTTGCCAGAGAAGGAGAGGAGGTAAGAGGAAAAACATTTTAAGCATGAGGGTGTGTGTCATAGAAACGAAGAAGAGTGGCTAAATGTGTCAGATGTGGCTGAGACATCAAAAGGAGGACAGAGGGGTGAATGTTGCATTTGGCAGCGTGAAGGTCACTGTCATTATAAATAGTACACTTCTACCGTGTGAAAAGAATGTTATACTAGTATCATGCAGGGGTCTATCATGATGTCTACTATAGGGGAGGAAAAATAATTGTTTCTCTACCCTACTGAGTAATTGGCTGAGGACCAACCCCACCACCACCACCACCACCGCTTCCCCGTAATACAAGACAGAATAACAAGAGAAAACCAGAGAGAGGTTAATAAACTTGAATACCTCATGTGTACCTGGGAGATACTCGGAGAAAAATGAGTAACTCCTCAAAGTAGCCTAAGTCACCAGCTTAAATACCGTCTTCAGCTAAAGACAAATAAAAGATGTGAGGACACCCATAATGGGGGAGAGGGTTACAGGGAAAAGCACCATACACAAGGGTAAGGTTTGTTCTGCAGGTTTAAATCTGCAACTTCACCAGTGATACTCCTGATACCCTTGATTCTCTGGTGTCCTCCTTCTCTTCCTGGTACGGAGAGGAAGATACCCTTACAAATAGAGATTTCCTTTATAAATGGAAATTTCCCTTTCAAATGGGTAACTTTTACTCTTTTCAGAGCTTTTCCTGTGTCTGCTGTTTTTCAATCAGCTCAAAATAATCTATTCCAAAGAGGCACATTTTGGGGTGGCACATCTGCTCACCTTCACTACATTCTAACCTTAGATGGATGAGTGCCTTTGTTTTTTTTTGGAGGGGGGGGGATGTAATTTACTATGTTTACAGTTTTATTGATAAAATGAGTGCATTTTATCTAGTTTCCACAGCTCTAAAAATGGAATAGTGGTATTTCTCTGCCTTTTTGACAAGGTTGTTATGAAGGATATGGAACATAGTGGAAGGAAAAGTATATCGTAAATGGTAACGTCCTGTACAAATGCAAATTAATAAGTAGAATTATTTGTAATATTATATTATAAACTGCTTCAGGGTCTGGATTAGGCTTTAATGATCATTGTATCAAGCACAATGCTTAGCATAATACTAACCAGTATCTTGCGTTTAGTGGTTGCTCAAAGAAAGAAAATAAAAAATGTCTTAAATGAAATAAAGAGGTGGAAAGGAATGATGGTGTCCAGTTCTTTTTCACCTGCAGAATCCCAGCTAGGATTTGGTGACAGGGTTGCTCTTGTGAAAGATTTCAGTGCTGAGTCATGCCCTGCATCCCTTTTACAAAGTAATCACTGTGAAGAGAAGTAAAGGACTCGGAGACTGGGCTGTTTTCCATTTGTTATTTCTAAGCGAAACCATTCCCAGAATTTTTCAGATTTTCTCACTTTGGTATACAGACAGAATTTCTGAAATCAGTTTTTCTTCTAGGAGAGCAAATTTATGAAATTGTGTATCACCACATGGGCATATTTTAGCTGGTGAAAAATTGTGTTATGATAAATGGTAAATGTCCAGTTTTTGCCTTTTTTTTCTATCTTTGGCTTTTTCTGTGTGTTGTACAGGTGTTGAGCCTTCTGAAATATACACAGTTTAGTACCTTGCTGCAAATAGAATGTAAGTAAGTGACCTTTGCAAAGCGTGTATTCTTAGCAAGTCTGGCATGGGTCTGTTTTATTTAGGCAAGAGAGACTAGAAAACAAAAATCTAACTTTTATTCTATGCTGAGAAATAAAGAGAATTGTCTTATTTCTGCAGCTCTCAAACAGGATGTTCAACACTCTTAAAAATCAAACAAATAGGGACTTCCCTGGTGACAGGTGGTTAAGAATTTGCCTTCCAATGCAGGGGACACGGGTTTGAGCCCTGGTCCAGGAAGATCCCACGTGCCACGGAGCAACTAAGCCCATGTGCCACAACTATTGAACCTGCGCTCTAGAGCCTGTGAGCCTCACCTACTGAAGCCCATGCACCTAGAGCCCATGCTCCACAACAAGAGAAGCCACCGCAATGAGAATCCCACGCACTGCAACGAAGAGTAGCCCCCGCTAGCTGCAACTAGAGAAAGCCCATGCTCAGCAACAAAGACCCAATGCAGCCAAAAATTAATTAATTAATTATTTTTTAAAAATCAAACAAATGTGATATTCTCAGAGGTAAAGTCAGAATATGTAGGTAGCATTACATACAACCCTTTTATTTGTAAAAAGCAAGTAGAATAAGTCAGAAATGCATTAATTCTTTCAGGTCTATTGACAGCAAAATGGGCTTGAGGGTTGAAAGATTTAATGTCACTCCTTAGCAAGGAAGAGGTTGTTGTGTGGCTAATGTGAATGCTAATACTTAAGTAGCGTAAGAAGGAGCCTGGGAAGGGAAGCATCTCACTTTTAAAATCCTGCTATATCCTGCAAGTGTCAGCTGCAAAGTAACTTTCCAGAAATGGTCTGATTTCCCCACTGACTTCCACTGTGAAACTAGAGCTGTGTTCCCATGGAAAATAAATTTGGCCCCAGGTTATGATAAAACACACTGAAGAATTCAGAAAATTTTATAAAATCCAGCATTTCAAGACACAGTTATCAGTACCTGATAAAATAATACTATCACAAAATGTGAATACACTGTAGTAGATCTTAAAGTAGCACACCCCAAACTGTGCTATTATTCTTTTTTTTAACAAGTGCAAATCTAGTACCTTTACATTTAAAGACATTTTACTTCTGTGATCATTATTGATTTTTAATAGACTTAATTGTAAAAGGTAGATTTGCTTTCCTTTATATTCTTCATGGTTAGTCTACTTACCTTTTTGTGAAGCATTCTTTTTTTTGTGGCACGCGGGCCTCTCACTGTCGTGGCCTCTCCCGTCGCGGAGCACAGCCTCTGGACGCTCAGGCTCAGTGGCCATGGCTCACAGGCCTAGCTGCTCTGCGGCATGTGGGATCTTCCCAGACTGGGGCAGGAACCCGTGTCCCCTGCATCCATCGGCAGGCAGACTTTCAACCACTGTGCCACCAGGGAAGCCCTTTTTCTGAAGCATTCTTATCAATTAACATTCAAAAGCTTTCAGCCATAGAAGAAAGACCAGAAGGAAATGTCCCAAAAAGTTCACAACCCTGAGTTGTTGGAAATTTTAGTTTACTTACCTTTTTATATTTCTAAGTCACCTAAAGAGATAATTTTCTATATCTGTATCTTCTATAATCAGGAATAAAGTCAATAATTTCTTGCTATAAATTTACACATAATGAGATACATTTAGTCAGACACATTTACATACCTGGTTCATTTTATGTTTGGTAGTAGTGGTAGTTGTTATCACTTTTTTGATAAAAATTTTAAAACAGTAATGTAATTAATTTGGGGATAAATACTTTTCCGGAGTATACTGATGAAAGTGTAGTCCTGGTGTTACTGAACCAAACTTGGGTCCTCTGGCCATGCACAGTAAAGCCAATCTACTGGCACCAGGTTGTGGTGAAGGAAAGTGCAGCATTTATTATAGGCGCCAGACAAGGAGAGCGGGTGTGGGTGGCTTGTGCTCAAAAGCCCCAAACTCCCAGAGGGTTTCAGGGAAGCATTTTTAAAGACCAGGTGAGGGAGGGGTGTTGCAGGGTATGTGATCAGCTTGTGCACAGTTCTCTGATTGGTTGGTGGTGAGGTAACAGGGTGGTGTCACAGGGGTTAACACTGTCCATCCTCAGGCTCCTGTAGGCCTGCAGGGCTATGTGCTCAAGGTCACCAAGTAGTTAACCTCTTCCATTTGGTGGGGGTTTTAGCATCTGTAAAACAACTGAGGAAATGTGCATCAGATACTGTTATCTAAGCACTTAGAAAGGAGCTAAAGGAGAAGATATGGAGGAGGGGTCTGTCATGGGAAGGCCTCATTGGGTCCTGCTGGGTTACACTGGACTGGCAGCCTCAGTGTCATCTGGGAACTTGTTAGAAATTATAATCCTCAGGCCCATTGGCTCAGACTTAGCAAACAGCATTCGGGTTTGAACAAGCGCTTTGGGTAATTAAGGTTCTAGAGCTACAGCAGAATCTCTCTCCACCTCTCTCTCCCCTCTCCATCCTTCCCTCTCCAAAGCTCTTCCTCTCCTCCCTTCTTTTGCTCTCTCCCTCTTTTTCCCCTCCTCATATGGGATATATGTGTATATGTATACATACACACATATAGATACATAACCTATATATAGAATTCACTGTAACCTCTCCATCTATGTAGAATATGTATTAAAAAAAGAAAATATATACTTTTTTCCCTAAGTTTTTCATTGCTGTTTGTTTCTACCCTATCTCCCTCCTAAAAAGATATGAGGCAGTTTTCTGGTATTTATACTTCTGTGTTTTCATTTAGCAAACATGTTTCAGCAAATATGTTCTTCATGGTTATACATTAAATAGTTCTGCCTCACTTATAGATTTTCACAGCTCACTGACCAATATAATGACTCCAGCAAGTTGTTATGGGCTGAATTGTGTCCCCCCCATTCATGCGTTGAAGCCCTAACCCTGAAAACTTCCAAAATGTGACTGTATTTGGAGATAGGACACTTAGAGAGGTATTTAGATTAAAATGAGGTCCTTAGGGTGGGCCCTACTCCAATATAACCAGTGTCCTCATAGGAAGTGGAGATTAGAACACAGACAACATGGACAGAGGGACCACCAGGTAAGGACACAGGGAGAAGGCAGCCATCTTCAAGCCAAGGAAAGAGGCCACAGAAGAAAACAAATTTGCTGACACCTCGATATTGTATTGCTAGCCTGCAAAATTGTGAGAAAGTAAATTTCCGTTATTTAAGTTACCTGATCTGTGGTATTTTGTCATGGCAACCCGAGCAAAGTAATGCAGAAGTGTTTACAGAAATAATGTTATAATTCAGTCTTAACATCTAGTGATTGCCTTTGAGGTACCATTGGATCATGTTCCTTAACAGAAAGCTACAGCTTTACAAAGGGTGCCAGAGAACAGTATGAAAAACTACTCACCATGCACAACAACATGATAAAGCTCTATGAGAATCTTGGAGAATACTTTATTTTTGACTCTAAGACAGTGAGCATAGAAGAATTTTTCGGTGATCTCAGCAACTTCCAAACTTTGTTCCTGGTAAGTAATATGTCTTAAAGCCTTGCAAGGCCTGTTGCTTTTGTTTTTAAATAATTTCTTCCATAGGCATTTTATTTTACATACCTACTGACCATATTGATTTCATGTTATAGCCCTTTAACAGGAATTGACAGATATTTTATACCTGTGACATGAATTAAAAATTGTTGGCTGGCTTAATGTATAATGGGAACCTAAATGAATTATCTTCAACTTTAGGAACACATGGGAATTTTACTGCTGAAATTTTAGAGAAAATGAATGAATTGGTACTCAAATGACCCTGATTTTTTATACAGCATAATATTATAATTTGACCTAGATTAAAAATTAACATCTAAAATCATCTTTTACTCAATACATTAAAATGCTGTGACTGATGAATAAGTTTCTCTCATAGTCTAGATGAGAAACTGATTCTAAATTGGACTCTATATCAATAAATGACCTGGAATACCTAAAGTTTCTTTCAGAATTTGAGCTCTCCTTTTTCAAACTATAACTCTTGAGGATAATGGTAAACGTTAGAATTAATCGGAGGTCGATCATCAGGGTGCCAGTTATGATGCTAGAGGGAAGCAAAAGCTTTGTTGTATAAATGCTGTGGGAATATTTCTCTGCATCCAGTGAAGGCATAGAAGAGCACAGTCTCCGATTGTGATAGTAACAGAAGGATACGCACAATAGTTGATATCAAACAGGTAAAAGTCCCTTTATGTTAAAGAAGGAATTCTAGCAATTATCCCCAGCAGGAAGATCAATCAACAAACTAATTCATTTGTTTGTTTCTATCCCCAAAGCAATCCTTCACTAAACAAGACTCTCTCTCTTAATTGACGGTGTTGCTCCATGAAATCATTTGATTTTGGTGTGATTTGCACAGTCTATGAACTACAAATATACTTGTGGAAAGCATTTGCTTTCATCTACTGATTTAGGACAGACAACCGAGAGTACACCCTGGCTTTGATAATAGAAGCTAAACCAGAAACTTTCATAAATATGATCATTTGTCTTATTTTTTGCTGAGAATATTAGCTGATTTTTGTCTTAAGTCTTTGCCTCTTAATAGACACACATATTTAACTTTTTAGCTGGTCAATAAGTAGCAAAATATATTCTACTGGCAATGAGTGGCTTTTTCAAATCTTAGACATTAGGAACACACCCAGGTTATACTTACTCGGATAATTTTCAAAAAGAAAAAAAAAAAAGTATGTTGAAAAGGGATGGGGACAAGAAAATACACTTCAGTTGACACGGAAAAGATAAATCCAATAATTTTCTTTTTTGGTAGCATCAATGTCTATGGGTTAATAGAGATAAATAAATATAATTAATATTGTCAAACTCTATGAAAAAGGACCTTGTTTTTAACATAAATGGGATCCTAAAACACTGCCTGTCATATCATGTGCCCCCTACCTCCCCAATACGTGGACATAGAGTAGAATTTGCTGTACTTCTCTCGCGTTGCAGCATTTGTTGAATTATAATTCCTGTGTGACAGCCTATGTTTAGTCCTATTACCCAGATGCTTAGAAGCCTTGCCAAGAACTATACTTGTATTATTTCTCAGTCATAGCTTAGTTTTAAAAAGGTAAGGATATTATTGTTAAGAAGAACTGATTCTGTGTCCTGGTGCTCTCACAAACAAGCTATGTGATTGGGTAAGTCATTTATCTTTCTAGCTAGCTAGCTAGCTAGTTAGTTAGTTAGGAAATGGTGGGATTACACTACTGATCTCAAAGAACTTCTTTAGGGTCTATGAGTCATGGTGGGAATTTCGGAGAGTCATTTGTATTCCATACATAAACAGGATATATCTTTTTGTCTACTGGCTTCACTGTGGGTGTAGCTTGAGTACAGGGAAATTATTTGTCATAAATCATTCTCATTGTAAATAAGTTGACACTCTGAAGCCCGGTTGTGTGTGCATTTAAGTTAACTTCTTGAGAACCTGCTAAGAGTTTGGGAGCTTTCAAAACAGGTGACCAGCTCCTACACTGTGTCTTGGCCAGCCATTGCCACCTGTCCTACAGAATACTACTGCTACCACCTCTATTTACCAATACTTTTAGACTTGCTGTCATGAGAAGTAGTGTGCAACTTTTTAGCTATTTTGAACTTGAGCTGGTCACATAACCTCTCTGGGCATCAGTTTCCTCATTTTTAAAATGTGAGTGATAATTCCTGCCATGGCTTCCTCACCACAATGTGAAAACACCTCATAACCTATGTTGTGCAGATGGAGCATATTATTAGCCATTCTCTGCCTGTCCATTCAGTTATTACTTATTGAGAACCAACTTGATTTTGGTAATGCTTTAGTCCAGAGACAAAAGGAAGAGAATGGTTTCTATCCATGAGTGGAGGGCAACGGACAAATGCAATATAGTTTGGTAAGTGCTGCCATAGAAATACGTCAGGGTGCTATAGTAATACAAAAGAGGGGCTGCCTAACCCTGCCTGAGCTGGCCAGAGAAGCCTTCATAGGGAAAGTGACATTTAGACAGTCTTGAAAAATCCGTAGGACTTTGACAAGCTGGCGTTGACAAGTAGGTTTAAGGGTTTTACACCTGACCTGTAAGCCGAAGACTCCTAAATCAACATCACCAACTTCAGTCAATCATCTGTGCTCACCATGTCCCTGTTTCATAGTGAGCTTAAAGTGATTTCACTCTCCCAAGGGAGGGAAGAACCTTGAAAGAGAGACAAAAGTTGTCATTGCCACAAATTCCCATTTTCTTAGTGCTTTGTGTGTCTGGCCTCAGCGTCCTTGGCGCTTAAAAGCATATTGGACTATAGATGGAAGCAATAAAATACCAGTAGTGCTGAGAAGAAAATAAGAGTTCTGATTCATGTGCTACCAAAAATTACTTCCAGATGAGCTCAGAGTTTCATCTTGGGAGATCTATTTGGCATGTGTAGCATAAACAAAATACAGATACCAAAAAAAGCTTCCTGAAAGAGATAACCTCCGAAAGATGGGGCAAATGGAAATAAACAAAAAGGGTTGACATTATGGATTAAGACCTTTTTCAAAATAGTCACATTCAAATGAATGAAAGCAAAATTGGGCAATCTCTATGAGATGCTGCTCTATAAATTATTCATATCATTCATATTACATATTACTCAACTAATAAGAATATTGAAGATGTTCAGCTGAATGTCCTATATATTGTCATGAAGATATATGTAATTGGAAACATTTCTAAATTCAGAATTAAGACTCTCTTTCTAGTTAGCTTCTCTGAGAGCAAGAGAGTTTTAAAAACTTCTTATAATATAGGCAAGGTTAATTAATAATCCCTAATTTAAGTTGAATATTTTGTAGAAGAAAAATTCCAGATTTATGTACTATCAAAACATCTCTTTTGCTTATTCTCCTTTATGCTTCAGTCATTTGACTAGTTCAAATAGTTGACTGCACAGTCTTTTTTCTTTCAAGATATTTGGAATAGAATGTTCAAAATCAGTGAACCTTGTGTGTTTCACCACCATGCAGCATCTTGCTTAGGCATAAAAATTATTTTCAGCTGTTGGGAAAGTGTTTGAGGCATGTGTTATATACTTCAATAACTTTCATAGCTCCAAATAAATTATAGAAAATATTTATTTTCTCTTTTAAATCTGTCAGTTTCCTGCTGCTTCTGTGTGTTTTTGTTTTGTTTTTTAAAGAACGATCTGTTACCCAGGCACTCAGTAAATTTTGTTGTGTGAGCGTACTCATTGTATATCTTATATACTAGAAATAGAGGAACAAGGCTTTATAGGATTATTAGATCCGTTGGCCTAACTTAAGAAGAAAATGTTACCATTACTGTTAATCAGGCTAGCAGATCTCCCCTCAACAAAATAAGTGTTTGCTACTGTTCATTTGATGACTAAACTTTAAGAATTTTTTTAAAAACTCAAGACTGTAACAATTTTTCAACAGCTCTTAGATGGCTAAGTGTTAGGAGGCTAAGTGATATCTATAAATCATGGCATTTTATGCCATTGTTCAGTCTTGTTGCTTCTACCTCCTAAATATTTTTGGACTTCACTCATTTCTCTCCAAGCCCACTGACTCTACTTTAGTTCTGGGCCCCTGCCATCTCTCAGCTGGACTGTTAATTACAATGATGTCCTGACTGGTCTCTCTGCCTGCTTCTCCTACCATATCTAACTTCTAATCCATTCCCCACATTATAGTCAGAGTAAAAGTTAAAAAAACAAACAAACTAGATAATGTTACTTTCCTGACTTATGATTCTTTAATGACTTGTGTCCTCAGGATAGAATCTAAACTGTTGAAAATTAATGTGGTTTACAAAATCAAAGGAACTAAGATTACTTAAAGCCCAGACCATCCTAAGGTTGGCTGAATAAGCCATAATCACTTAACTCTCCTTCCAGACTGGGAAAAGTCAAGTATTGACAGGGGAGGCAGCAGAACAAAACAGCAGTAAGTGTCTAAGAGGACCTGAGCCTCTTACAACAGAGAGAAACTTTGGGAGCACAGTATCCAAGGCTCAGTAAATGAAGGCTCGGAGGCAAATGTGTGATTGTCATCTTGTGTTAATTGCTCCCTAGCTAGTGCAGCATGGAGAGCTATGCCAACCAAGGTCGCTCTTATCTTAATTCTTAGTTAGGGATGTTCTTCCTTCTGTCTTAAGTAATTGTTCTTTTAAAATCTAACCTTATCTGAAAGCTCCTTGTAGCCATTTTGGCTTATGGAGATACTTAATTTTGAGAAGCTCTCATTTTCCTCAAGCCATCTTCCTCTTTACAAGGACTCAATCATGTCTAAATCTAAACTATAATTGGAAAGCAAGGTGAGCACCTGCATCTGCACTCAAAGGCTAAATTGATAATATATAGAACATTTTATCCATTCATTAAAGGCAATTTGCCTTTAAAGAAATGAGGATGAATTTTTGCATAAAAAGGCTGTGTATATAGTTCCTGATCCAAGAACACTAAGTTATTTTGAAACATTTTTAAGCCTTCAA